ACAGACTAAACAGGACTCAAACAGGACTAAACCTAAACAGGACTCAAACAGGACTCAACCAGGAGGACTAAACCAGGACTCAAACAGGACTCAAACAGGACTAAACCAGGACTCAAACCAGGACTTCAAACAGGACTAAAGGACTAAACCAGGACTAAACCAGGACTAAACCAGGACTCAAACAGGACTCAAACAGGACTAAACCAGGACTCAAACAGGACTAAACCAGGACTAAACCAGGACTAAACCAGGACTAAACCAGGACTAAACCAGGACTCAAACAGGACTAAACCAGGACTCAAACAGGACTAAACCAGGACTCAAACAGGACTAAACCAGGACTAAACCAGGACTCACAGGAACCAGGACTCAAACCAGGACTAAACCAGGACTCAAACAGGACTAAACCAGGACTAAACCAGGACTCAAACAGGACTAAACCAGGACTAAACCAGGACTCAAACCAGGACTCAAACCAGGACTCAAACCAGGACTCAACTCAAACAGGACAGGACTAAACCAGGACTAAACCAGGACTAAACCAGGACTCAGGACTCAAACAGGACTAAACCAGGACTAAACCAGGACTAAACCAGGACTAAACCAGGACTAAACAGGACTAAACAGGACTAAAGGACAGGACTAAACCAGGACTAAACAGGAACAGGACTAAACAGGACTAAACCAGGACTAAACCAGGACTAAACCAGGACTAAACCAGGACTCAAACAGGACTAAAACCAGGACTCAAACAGGACTCAAACCAGGACTAAACCAGGACTCAAACAGGACTAAACCAGGACTCAAACAGGACTAAACCAGGACTAAAAAGGACTCAAACAGGACTCAACAGGACTCAAACAGGACTAAACAGGACTAAACAGGGACTAAACCAGGACTCAAACAGGACTAAACCAGGACTCAAACAGGACTAAACCAGGACTAAACAAAAACAGGACTCAAACAGGACTAAACAGCAAACCAGGACTAAACAACTAGGACTAAACCAGGACTCAAACAGGACTAAACCAGGACTAAACAGGACTCAACCAGGACTAAACAGGACTAAACCAGGACTCAAACAGGACTAAACCAGGACTAGGACTAAACAGGACTAAACAGGACTCAAACAGGACTAAACCAGGACTCCAAAAGGACTAAACCAGGACTCAAACAGGACTAAACCAGGACTCAAACAGGACTAAACCAGGACTCCAGGACAACAGGACTAAACCAGGACTCAAACAGGACTAAACAGGACTAAACCAGGACTAAACCAGGACTAAACCAGGACTCAACCAGGACTAAACAGGACTAAACCAGGACTCAACAGGACTCAACCAGGACAAAAGGACTAACCAGGACTCAGGAACCAGGACTAAACCAGGACTCAAACAGGACTAACCACCAGGACTCAAACAGGACTAAACCAGGACTCAAACAGACTCAACTAAACTAAACAGGACTCAAACAGGACTCAACCAGGACTCAAACAGGACTCAAACCAGGACTAGGACTAAACCAGGACTAAACCAGGACTAAACCAGGACTCAAACCTAAACCAGGACTAAACCAAACTCAGGACTCAAACAGGACTAAACCAGGACTAAACCAGGACTAAACCAGGACTAAACCAGGACTAAACCAGGACTCAAACAGGACTAAACCAGGACTAAACAAACACTCAAACAGGACTAAACCAGGACTAAACAGGAACTAAACCAGGACTCAAACAGGACTTAAACCAGACTAAACCAGGACTCAAACCAGACTCAAACCAACAGGACTCAACCAGGACTAAACCAGGACTCAAACAGGACTAAACCAGGACTAAACCAGGACTCAAACAGGACTCAAACAGGACTAAACCAGGACTCAAACAGGACTAAACCAGGACTAAACAGGACTCAAACAGGACTAAAACCAGGACTCAAACCAGGACTAAACTAAACAGGACTCAAACAGGACTCAAACCAGGACTCAAACAGGACTAAACCAGGACTAAACAGGACTAAACACAGGACTAACCAGGACTCAAACAGGACTAAACCAGGACTCAACCAGGACTAAACTCAACAGGACTAAACCAGGACTCAAACTGGACAGGACTAAAGGACTCAAACCAGGACTAAACCAGGACTCAAACAGGACTCAAACAGGACAAAAACCAGACTCAAACCAGGACTCAAACAGGACTCAAACAGGACTAAACCAGGACTCAAACCAGGGGACTAAAACCAGGACTAAACAGGACTCAAACAGGACTAAACCAGGACTAAACAGGACTCAAACCAGGACTAAACCAGGACTCAAAACAGGACTAAATAAACCAGGACTCAAACAGGACTCAAACCAGGACTAAACCAGGACTCAACAGGACTAAACCCAGGACTCAAACAGGACTCAAACAGGACTAAACCAGGACTCAAACAGACTCAAACAGGACTAAACCAGGACTCAAACAGGACTCAAACCAGGACTAAACCAGGACTAAACCAGCGACTAAACAGGACTCAACCAGGACTCAAAGGACAGACTAAACCAGGACTTCAAACAGGACTAAACCAGGACTCAAACCAGGACTCAACCAGGACTCAAACAGGACTAAACCAGGACTCAAACCAGGACTAAACAAAAACCAGGACTCAAACAGGACTAAACCAGGACTAAACCAGACTAAACCCAGGACTCAAACAGGACTAAACCAGGACTCAAACAGGACGGACTTAAACCAGACCAAACAGGACTAAACCAGGACTAAACCAGGACTAAACCAGGACTCAAACAGGACTCAAACCAGGACTAAACAGGACTCAAACAGGACTAAACAGGACTAAACAGGACTCAAACAGGACTTAAACCAGGACTTCAACCAGGACTAAACCCAGGACTCAAACAGGACAGGACTCAAACAGGACTAAACAGGACTCAACCAGGACTCAAACCAGGACTAAACCAGGACTAAACCAGGAGGACTCAAACAGGACTCAACAACAACAGGACTAAACAGGACTAAACAGGACTCAAAAAACAGGACTAAACCAGGACTCAAACAGGACAAACCAGGACTAAACCAGGACTCAAACCAGGGACTAAACCAGGACTAAACCAGGACTAAAACAGGACTAAACAGGACTTACAGACCAAAGGACTCAAACAAGGACTCAAACAGGACTAAACCAGGACTCAAAACTAGGACTAAACAGGACTAAACCAGGACTCAGGACTCAAACAGGACTAAACTAAACAGGACTCAAACAGGACAGGACTCAAACAGGACTAAACCAGGACTAAACAAACAGGACTAAACCAGGACTAAACCAGGACTAAACAGGACTAAACAGGACTAAACCAGGACTCAAACCAGGACTAAACCAGGACTCAAACCAGGACTAAACTCAAAACCAGGACTCAAACCAGGACTCAACAGGACTAAACCAGGACTAAACCAGGACTAAACCAGGACTCAAACAGGACTAAACCAGGACTAACAGGACTAACAGGACTACAAACAGGACTAAAACCAGGACTAAACCAGGACTAAAACCAAACAGACTCAAACAGGACTCAAACCAGGACTCAAACCAGGACTTCAAAACCAGGACTAAAGGACTAAAAAGGACTCAAACCAGGACTCAAACAGACTAAACCAGGGACTAAACCAGGACTCAAACAGGACTAAACCAGGACTAAACAGGACTAAACCAGGACTCAAACAGGACTCAAAGGACTCAAACAGGACTAAAGGACTAAAACAGGACTAAACCAGACTAAACCAGGACTCAGGACTCAAAGCAGGACTAAACCAAAAACAGGACTAAACCAGGACTCAACTCAAAAGGACTAAACCAGGACTAAAACTAAACAGGACTCAAACAGGACTCAAAGGACTCAACAGGACTAAACCAGGACTCAAACAGGACTAAACCAGGACTAAACCAGGACTCAAACAGGACTACAGGACCAGGACTCCAGGAAAACAGACTAAATAGGACTCAAACCAGGACTAAACCAGGACTCAAACAGGACTAACCAGACTCAAAACAGGTCTAAACCAGGACTAAACCAACCAGGACTAAAACAGGACTCAAACCAGGACTCAAACCAGGACTCAAACCAGACAAACAGACTCAAACCGACTAAACAGGACTAAACCAGGACTAAACCAGGACTCAAACAGGACTAACCAGGACTAAACAGGACTAACCAGGACTCAAAACAGGACTAAAACCAGGACTCAAACAGGACTAAACCAGGACTTCAAAACCAGGACTAAACAAACCAGGAGGACTAAACCAGGACTAAACCAGGACTCAAACCAGGACTCAAACCAGGACTAAACCAGGACTCAAACAGGACTAAACCAGGACTCAAACAGGACTAAACCAGGACTCAAACAGGACTAGGACTAAACCAGGACTAAAACAGGACTAAACGGACTCTAAACCAGGACTAAACCAGGACTCAAACCAGGACTCAAACCAGGACTAAAACCAGGACTAAAACCAGGACTAAAACATGGTCTAAACCAGGACTAAAACGAGGACTAAAACAGGACTCAAACAGGACTCAAACCAGGACTAAACCAGGACTCAAACAGGACTAAACCAGGACTAAAACCAGGACTGAAACAGGACTAAACCCGGTGTAAACCCAGTCTAAACCCAGTCTAGACCCGGCGTAGACCAGGTGTAGACCCGGCGTAGACCAGGTGTAGACCCGGTGTAGACCCGGTGTAGACCCGGTGTAGACGGACCTCTCGTTGTCCTGGCGGATGTAGGTCAGGGGTCCGATCTCCACGCGGGCGATGTTGGTGTTCTGGTCCAGGACGTGGATGTAGTGATGAGGAGGGATCCTGATGATGGACGCCTCCACAGACGTCTCCATCTCCACTCCACGAGGTCCAGGCGCGGGCTTCCTCGACATCTTCACACCTCACGGTCACCGACGACGAAGACGAGCAGGACTGAGGAACGAGACCAAGAGGAGCAGGACTGAGG